GGCCATTGTAGGTAACAAACGTATTCTCTAATCGTAAGCAATGACCGCCCACGCTCTCTAACCAGATCCACCCAAATCAAGCCATCTGAAGGGGGAAACCGTTCGCATGCCTGGCACGAGGGGAGCCGACTGGGATGTGACTGACGCAATAGCTTGCCATTAGCTGTGTAAGCCACCACCGACCTCGCAGCCCGTCTCTATACCGGCTCCACGTCATGCACGCCTCCAGATACCTCCTCCTCATCCTCCTCCTTCTTCTTCTTCTTTTTCTTCTTCTCATTCTCCTCTATTGTTTCCGCCGTTTCTCCTTCCCCTCTTCTATCTTGTTCTTTCTCTCCTTCTTCTTCCTCCTCTTCGTCTTCTTTTTCGTATTTTACTTCTTCGTTTGCTTCACCTTCTCCTTCGTTATCATCTTCATCATCTACTTCCCGCTCCTCTTCTCTTACAGCCTCGAGCGCTCCCCGATTAGCCACGCACTTATCTATCGTGAGCGAACTCTCCTACAGACAAACACCAAAACTCGTGAACGCGCGGAGACGGCTTCAGTCGTTTCCATGGTTTCCATGTGTCGCCCGCCGCTTCCACGACCTGCACTGCTTCGCAGGGAGAGGGCGTGAGAGAAAGGGGAGATGGAGAGAACGAGAGAGAAAGAAACGTAGTGACAAAGTGAAAGAAAGAGAGGGGAGCACAAGAGAGAGACCGTGTGTGTATGTGTGTGTGTGTGTGTGTGTGTGTGTGTGTGTGTGTGTGTGTGTGTGTGTGTGTGTATGTGTGTGTATGCGCGTGTGCATGTGCATGCATGGGTGCGTAGGTGCGTGCGTGCGTGCGTGCGTGCGTGCGTGCGTGCGTGCGTGCGTGTGTGTAGTGTGTGCATGTGTGTGAGAGAGAGAGGACGATTACGAAATGGAGAGAGGGCAAGAGAGCGCGAGTGAACGAACAGAGAGATAGACAAGCAAAGAGAGAGAAAGAACAAAGAGAGGTAGAGAAGGAAAGATGGGGTTGGGAGAGAGAGAGAGAGAGAAAGTTCCCTCATCGGTTGCTGCTCGGAAAAACAACGCGGATGCGTCAAGATCAGAGCATCTGCTACACACAACATACTCCGTGACGAAGGGATCTATAGATAGATACACGAGAGCGGATACAAGGCCAAGTCTCATTTTACTACGCTTAACGCGAAATTGAGCTTCTTGGACCCAACACGAACGCCAGGTGTTGGTGAAAACAATATTAGGCTGCCTGGTAATAGCCTAGACTCTCAATGGTTCTAGTGACAAGGCACGAACCCCCGCACCATGTGCCCATTGCCCTACGTAGCGGAAGTGATTTCCGGGCGTCCACCTGCAGGGGACGGGGATAGCGTTTTACCACACGTGCGTACCTGAGAACGGGGCGTCTCTCCGGTCTTGTGCTCGAATTGGGCGTTGCGTTTTTTCCGGTGGCTGCTGCTGCGTCTGAGAAAAGTAAACGAGCGCTTCCACTGATGGTCGTTTTCGTTCTTGTCGATGCTGTAATGACACCTATCGTTAGCTACCCGTACTGTAAATTACCGGCTTTGCACTCGCGCGCTCACGCGCCTGTCGCTGTCCCTTTCTCTTGCTGCCTGAGCTCTCACTAGAAATCCTCCTGCTGTACTACACTCACTGTCTGTTTTCTCGCTACACCTTCACACTCTCCCACTTTCTATTGCTGCTAATTTTCCGCTCTTTCCATTCTCCTAATATCCTTTCCCTAACTGTCCTTTGCGCACTAACCCTTTTCTTAGCGCACTCTATTTTTCTACACCTTTAATCTTCCTTTTCTCTTCGTTCACTCTTCTCTTTCTCACTTTCTCTCGCTCGCTGTCTCTCGCTCGCTGTCTCTCTCTCTCTCTCTCTCTCTCTCGCTCTCTCTGTATATTCATCTCTCTCTTCCTCTCTGTCTCTATGTGCTTATGCCATTGTATTAGTGGAATCACCTGAGGGAGGACCCATCCCTAAGTGAGTGTGATCTTGACCTCTGACCGGGATGTTGACCGTCATAGGAGTCGTACTCGCCGTCGGAGCCCTCCAGACTCTGGCTGGACCTGTGCGAAGAGTTTCGCACCACTCCCATGATCCTCCGAAACAAAGATGGCGGACGCTGAAACAATGGAACAGTGTCGGTGAGCGGGTCACCCTCGGGTGCTGCTTAGGACCGTATCTACGCCCAGGATCGTCTTCTGTCCGAAGACCTGGCAGATGCCAAGCCTCGTGACCACGTTTAATGCGATGCCATTCAGCAGACGCTACCGCAACTCTTTCCTCGTGCATTCAAATGTAACGACCTTCGTATTAAGACATATCGCGGCAAATTGATACGGATCGTAACAGATAAAATTAAGAGCCCGCAACGATACAACAATGAATGTATCGCCGCATATAGCGCCTACGCACGCACGCATCATTTTACTTCATGCGAATAGAGTTGTCATCGTTTATACATCATCCCATCTTTATCCTATATCCTTTCTATTTATTTCTTTTAATTTTGCCATTATTTGCAGCGAATCCCTATGACTATAGACGGTGCACACGAGTGTGTCATCGTCACGCAGGGTACATGTTATACAGGGTATGATTCACGTACATGCACGTCTATAGCCGTGTAAAACCTTTCGTCAAAAAAGTTGCTTGCAGCGACAAAATGCACCAGGTTCGATGAAAAAGAACCACTCCGCGGATAGCCCCGCTAGTGACGCGAATGAGCAATCCTCAATACCGATACGGTGACGTCACACGTGTTAAGCGTAATTTGAACAAGTGTTTTAGAGGCTAACACTATCGAAGTGTAACGTCTCCCGACATGCAGAGTAGGCTCTGGCTGGATTGATTTATCTACAATAACATCACCGATTCGGAATTGAGAATGCCCAATGGTGAAACGTGCAGCGATAATTCTTCTACAGGTTAGTCAAAAACAAATGGGCGACCCAAATGCAATGTGTATATATGATCTACGAGGATCTACGTACGCGTATGTAAAAGATCTATGTATCGGCTGGGTAGTAGAGCGATGAAGGGAAATTACTATGAGGAGGCGAATAAGGAATGAGAGGAAGAAAACTAGGCGAGGCAGGAAGAAGAGGAGGAAAAGAAAGAGCTAGGAGAATGACGAGGAGGAGCAGTAGGAAGAATAAAAGGAGGGGGAGATAAAGGGAAATGAGAATGAGGAAGGAGAGGAAGATACAAAGGACGAGGAGGATGAGAAAGAGAAAGAGGGGGAGCAAGAAGAGTAAGAGGAGAATGAGGAGGAGGAGAAGGAGGAAGAGGCATAGGCGGAGGTAAAAGGGGTTAAAGGTCGTTGTGCGCCATGCTTTGAGAGTGAAAAGCAGATTTCATCGACAGTGCAACGCCACCAAGCGTCGTCCCGAGTCAGCTTAAAAAATAACGGTGAGTTCAGTCACGTATATAGTCGTTCGTGCGAATAGCCGAAACCTGAAGTCATGCCAAAAAACGGCTAAAAATGACAAGAACGCACGCAATAGACTATAGATCGGAAAAAGTTGAAGAGCGACGTAGCAAATACGACCGCCAGTGCATAGTGACAAGCCAGGATGTCAGCAGGCGTGGGCTGAGATGGGAGGGAGCGTGGGCATGCGTGGCGTGTCTGACAACGTTAGGGAGCTTGATAATATGCTATTCGTCTTGCGTTCGTTTTCTATCATACGTTTTTAGGTGTCGGTCGAATTTAGTTATAGGGTCACTGACAGAAAAAAAACTAGACCTACAAAGTGACCGTGCTAATCTGCGCTCCATTCACCTATCTGCTAAAAAATATTTGCAATGTAGCCTTAAAGCCGCTGCCTTTTGACCTTTGACCTTGAATAATATCCTAAACGTATATCTATATAGCGGTAAACTCGTGCGCCGAAATTTTATATACGCTGCACATTCCTACGTTTAAGCGCGCGTGTGTTTGGAGAGCGTGTGCGTGCGTGCGTACGTGCGTGTGTTCGCGTATGTGTGGGTACGTGCGTACGTGCGCGCGTGCGATTTCTAACGTTCCACTAACGTTACACTTCTAATATGTTAGAAATTCACAACTGACAACAACCCCTTACTTCAGTGTATATTGAATGTGTAGCGTATAACACGTGCATGCATGTCCATCGTAAGCGAGCGCAGCACATTAGCCTTCGAAATCGCGCGTCAGCTGGCTGGTTGGAATTCCCATAGCTACCGCTACTACTCACATGCCACGTTACACCTAGCTGGGAAACCCTAGTCAGCAGGGCACACGTGTGTCACACCTATACGGAGGTATTTACACGACCGAGGAAGCCAGGGTTTGACAAACACATGGTATACACATCGGGACGAAGGTAAAACAAGAGAGCAGGTACCCGTGTAGGATCCTGTGGAATGCGAAAGAGAGCAAAAAACAACCCGAAATGATTAATTAGTAAAATAGTCAAGCACAAAGTAATAGTCATAACAGTTAATTATGAATTAATTAAACGTTTTGTACGCTTTACCTCTAGGCCGGACGAAAATGGGCTCTGTATGGTAAAAAGTAAATGTATTGAATTAGACAGTTACTCACAGACACACGTGTTTACAGTTGACATTGGACTGTACAATATAAACCAGAGACAGAAACATTCATTTACAAACAACCTACGATTACACTATCGGGCTGACCTGTAACGTAGAACAAATTCATCGTAAAAACATTTACCCATTAAGCACAACGATATAGCAAGTGCCAATAACACGCACTTGACATATTTTCCTGGTAAACAGACAGTCCTATGGCGTTACTGCAGCCATATTACTTGAAAGATTGGCGCAAATATACTCTTCATATACACTGCTGTTGCAAATAATCACCCTCCAACACACACTCACATACTTACTTTTAGTATTTCGTACTAAATCGCGAGTAGTGCACATTTGGCTTTCATACGCCACGACTACGTATCCAACAGGAGGTGACGTCATATGCCGATGTCAGGTGCGTTAATAAAATTATCAAGAGCATAC